TACCCAGAATAATATGAAAGAGAGAAGATTGGTATTGAAAAAGCACAGTAACAAGCCACACAAATTACCAAGGTAAAAATGGTGATTAACTTGTTAACTTGGCAGGAACCCATCCTATAATGGAAGCTGAAACACGAGTAGCTTCAACAACTTGGACGTTCACTAGTTAGTTCCAATGGAGGTTTATAATTCCTGAATTTTCAACTCATGTATAACAGCTGTGTTTGTCCCTACACAGTGTTTGTGAGAAAGCTCTAAGCATAGCTAATTTAGCCCTTACTGTCTTTTGCTACTCTAAAGATTTGTTGTTGTTGTTGTTGTTAGGTGCCGTCGAGTTGATTCCAACTCATAGTGACCTATGTACAACAGAACAAAACACTGCCCAATCTTCATAATGGTTGTTAAACCTGAGTCCATTGCTGCTGCCTCTGTGCCAGCCTATCTCATTGGGTGTTTTCTTGTTTTTTTGCTGACTCTCCACTTTACCTGGCATGATGATCTTCTCCAGGGACTGGTACCTCCTGATAATATATCCGAAGCACGAGATACAAAGGCTTGCCATCATGGCTTCCAAGAAGCATTCTGGTTGTATTTCTTCAACAAAGAGGTGTTTGTTCTTGTAGCAGTCCGTGTTACTTTCAATACTCTCTTCCAACACCATAACTCAAATGCATCAGTTCTTCCATGGTCTTCCTTATTCAATGTCCAATTTTCACATGCATATGAGACTTGAGTTAGGCAAACTGTAGTTTTCAAACTGACATCTTTATCTGAACCCATTGCTGCTGTCACTGAGCCAATCCATGTCATTGGGGGGTCTTCCTCTTTTTCTCTGACTCTCCACTTTACCTAATATGATATCCTTCTCCAGGAACTGGTTCCTCCTGACAATATGTACAAAGTATGAGAAGCGAAGTATGGCCATCATGGCTTCTAAGGAGCACTCTGACTGTGATACTCCTATACAGTCAATCTGAAGTCCTCTTTGAGAATTACATTTTTACCTAGGGAACCTCATCATTCTCATAGGAAACTTAATTATAAGTTGATGACCACCACTCATCTGTGAGTTTTTAGTACTGTGGTCGCTTACATATTGTTGTGATGATGGAAACTGTGCCATTGGTATTTTAAATACCAACAGGGTCACCTATGATGGACAGATTTCAGCTGAGCTTCCAAACTAAAACAGACCAATAAGAAGGACAGGCAGACTACTTCTGAAGGTTTAGCCACTGGAAACCTTATGAATAGCAGTGGAACACTGTTAGATAGTAACAATATTGAATATTGACAAATTATTAATAGGATCCAAATGTTGTAAGATATAGTGCCAGAAGACGAGTCCCTCAGGTTGGAAGGTACTCAAACTATGACAGGAAAAGAACTGCTTCCTCAAAGTAGTATTGACAGTGATAATGTAAATGGAGTAAACCTTCTGGGACCTTCATTTGGTGATGGGGCCCAACTCAAAATGTTTCTTCTCAATTTTGAGTTGTGTTCTATCAGCAAAGGAAGGCTCGTCCCTCACATGTAAAGCCTGTAGCACCTCTCAGTGCAGCAGTCCCGATACATGACTTGTACACTTCCAGCTCATGAACATCTTCAAAATCCCTCGATTTCACTACAGCTATCAATCACAAGTTCTAGCACTTTACAAGGTCTTCTCTGTCCTACCAGTATTACAGGTTGTATCACTAGCTGGGGTTGTTACAATACCCTTCTAATTGGTCTCTCTACTGCTCCTCTTGGCTCCTTTAAGTTCATTCTCCACAATGTTGCCAAAGTAATCTTTCTCAAATTCAAATCTGATCATGTACCTTCTTAACTCTTCACGGTTCTCCAATGCTTACAGTCATCATGGTGTATAAGACCCTTTAGTAAGCAATCTATCGCTCCAAGCTTATCATTTCCCCGCCAGCTACTCTTCCTTTGTTTTTTACCCTCTCACCGTAGTGAATTACTAGAAACAAATCAAGTAGTTTCTTGCATTCATGCTTTTTTATGTGCTGTGTCCCCAAATTACCCACGTTCCTATTTCTATTCCTAATGTTCCTTGACTAATAAATTCTTTCCTCTTCATTATCTAAAAAATTTTCATTGTGAGCTCATCTCCCCCATTTCTAGAAAAATCTAATCACTTCCTTTCCTATTTAAATAGAGAAGTCACACATTAAGATCCTGCACAGTATTACAAACACATATTTACACTTCTGTCTCCATGGATTGTGACTCATTGAAGAAAGAGACCATTTCATTTATAAATTTACAGCCTGATGCCTAGCACAACACATGACACACTGCACACTCAATACATACTGGTATGACACTATAGGATAAGCATTGGACTGCTTATCCTAGTAGGCAGTTCAAACCCATTGACCACTTCTTGGAAACCCTGTACAGGGTCACTATGAGTTAGAACCGGCTCGATGACATATAACATACTGAACGGAGATTATAAAATTTATTTAATTACCAAAAAGAGTTTGAAAGCCACTGCATCCAGATATCAAATTAAAAAAATTTTAAAAATGCATTCTGTCAAGTCAGTTCCAACTCATGGTGATACCACATATTTCACAGTAGAATTATTCCATAGGGTTTTCTTGGCTGTACTCTTTATTGAAGCAGATCACCAGATGTTTCTCCCATGCCACTAGATTCAAGGATGGATTCAAGTCACCAACCTTTAGGTTACTGGTTGTTGGTGGTTGTGTGGTTTTGAGTCAGTTCTGACTTATAGTGACCCTGTATAGGGTTTCTAGGGCTGTATTTCTACATGGAAGCAGAAAGTCTCATCTTTCTCCTGTGGAGCCACTGGTGCCTTCAAACTGCTGACCTTGCAGTTAGGAGCCCAAAGTGTAACTCACTATGCCACCATAGCTCACTAAGTGCAAACCATCTGCACCATCCAGGGACCTAACAAACTTGCTATTCATTCTGAAATAACAAGCCAACAAACCCACAAAACTTGATAATATTAACTGCCCTACATTAAATTGTGTCTTCCAAAGATCTGTTGCAGTCCTAACCCCTATGTTGGTGAATGTGAACGTATTTGGGGAAATTGGGTTTTTCTTTGCAGATGCATTAGTTAAATCATGCTGGTTTAGGGTGGGTTCTAATCTAATTTATTTTGAGACATGGAAAGAGAGTCATGAACTGGGAGAAAGGCAACATGTGAGAATCTGTCTACAAGCTAAAGTACACAAGAAATGCCCAGGACTTGTTTGATGCTGTAGGATTAGTATTGAACTGCTAATCTCAAAGTTGGCAGTTCAAACCCACCAGAAACCCTATACAGGGTCGCTATGAGTCAAAACCAACTGGATAGCACTTAGCAACAACAACCAGAAACTAAAGAAGAAAAGGAAGGATCTACACACAACAGAGAAAGAGAGAGCATAGTTCTGCCAAGGCCCTGAATTGGAAATTCTAACCTTCATTTAGGAGAAAATACATTTCTTTTCTTTAAAGCCACCTAGCTTGTGATATTTTGTTATGGCTGTCTGAGGAAACTGTAATATCAACCTATCAAACCTGTCTTTGCCAGGTGTTCAGTCTGAAGTTGAAATGGTTGAAACATCCTTTATACATCTCTAAGACTGTTTCAACACCTTCCAATACCCAAAAATCTTCACTCAGAAAAACTTTCAAAAAATATTTTTACAGTTCAAAACACCATTAATGCTCAGTATTATTAGATTCCTTCTGAGGGAAAAGTTACAGAGATCTTAACTGAGTACTAGTATTGTTCTTGTGTCCGTGGATGGTATGTTGTTGTTAAGTGCTGTTGATTCGGGTCCAACCCATAGTGACCCTATATAGAATTTCCGAGGAGAAGCTGGTGAGCGTGAACTGCTGACCTTGCAGTTCAAACCGACTTTTCAGTCCATCACATTAACTTGCAGAGCCACATCAGGACTCCATGGATGATATATATAGTTTTAAATACATTTCCTATTTACTTCTGCAGCAAGACAGGAATGGAATCTGTGTCTTTATTTTCCTCACCTCCTGTATATGATCAACAGACATGCAATCCTACTTCTGATAATAATCATATTGACAGGGAGGCTGCTAGTGGAAAGAATTCTGGCCAGGAGCTAGGACTCCTGACCTATGATTTTTTTTTTTTTAAAAAGACACAAAAGTTCCTGTCATACTTGAAGTAGTAATAATTCTGAATGCCTATTATGTACCAGACACATACTTTGGCACTTAATACATATTAGCTAATTTAGTCTTCATAAAAATTCTATGAGATATTATTATTTCCAATTCCTGCCAAGGCCCTGAATTGGAAATTCTAACCTTCATTTGTAAGAAAATACATTTCTTTTTTTTAAAGCCATCTAGCTTGTGATATTTTCTTATGGCTGTCTGAGGAAATTGTAATATCAACCTATGAAACCTGTCTTTATTGTACAGGTAAATGGACTGATAGAATAATTTGCACAGAACACATAGCTAATAAGCAGCAGAGTCAGCATTTGTATCCAGGACAGGAGCCCACATTCTTAACTGCAGTCCTAGCCTATTAATGTTTTGCAAGTCAAATTCCAAAGAAGAAAGTTAAAAGCTGAAAATTAAAATTGTGTATTTCCATCTCCACTGCACTTAAAACAAGTATATAATACAAGGAATTAAAAAAAAAAAAAAGATGTTTACTAGTTTGCAGAGAAGACAGTAAAAATATAATGATTTAACAGCTCATATTTGAAGTTAAAGATGGTCTCATATCTAATCCAGCCTCTGCCTCATATGAGCTGTGTTTTCTTGGTTACTTTAATTACTCCTTTAAAGCCTCTGTTTCTGCATCTGTGAAATTAATAATTAAATACATAGTAATAATATATACTTTGCAGAGCTAATACTACTCTGCATAGGAAAATATGAAGAATAAATGATACCAATAATCATCTTTATCAGTAAATTAATAGCAGTACATGTTAACAAAGAAAGTGGTTGCAAATATAGAAAAAGGTATTACTTACAGAAGCCAGTAATCTTCCATCTTCCTTCATAGCCAGATAACGATTGGCACATACTCCTTTGATAGATACAACTCCTCTCTCTTCTGCTTGAAGTTGGAGTTTTACTAGGAGTAAAAAAAAAAGGGGTGTGTGTGTGACCTTTATAGCATCATAGAGCAAAAAGTGCAATACAAAGACCAAAGCCACCAGAGCAACCAAATTCATTCACTCTGGAGGATTGGCTAGGAAGGGGAGATGGGGCAGAGGCAACTGGTGGTGGTGGTTATGTTCCATGGAGTCAGTTCTGACTCACAGTGACCCTGTAGAGGGTTTTCGAGGCTATAAATCTTTACAGGAGCAGAAAGCCTCATCTTTCTCCAAGGAGCAGCTAGTAGTTTCGAACTGCTGACCCATAGGTTAGCAGCCCATCCCCTAACTACTATGCTACCAGGGCTCCTTGTTGTTGTTCTTAAGTGCCATCGAGTCTATTCCGACCCATAGTGACCCTGTATAGGGTTTCCAAGGAGCAGCTGGAGAGCTTGAACCACCGACCTTGCAGTTCAAATGACTTTGCAGTCTGATGCATTAGCCCACAGCACCACATCAGGACTCCTTAGAGGCCACTAAACTCTATAATAAGGTAGGTGCCCTGTGATGCAGACCAATGGAGCACAAGGACCTGAAGACTCCCCTCTCACTCATGTCAGAGTGAACAAACAGGAGACACAGAACGGAAGATGTTTTTCTTTGATAACACCAAAAAAACCTCATCTTAGTCCTGTGAAATGTTTGTGGGTATGTGTGTCTTTATGTAAAATGAACAAAGCTTACCCATCACCACTTTCACTGAGTTGAATCTGACTCATAGTGACCCTACAAAGAGTTTCTGAGACTTTTAAGTCTTTACAGGAATAAGCAGCTTCATCTTTCTCCTGCAGAGCAGCTGGTGGGTTTGAACCACCAACCTTGAGGTAAGCAGACCAATGCTAATCCCATGACTCCACCAAGCTAAATTTAAGAGTATATAAAAATCCAAACTCTTTGTGAGAATTTCCATGCTATTGCCTACATTTAAATATCTTTACAAGCCAATTTTAGCCAAGTCTTTACAAGTAAAATATATTCTATCTACTTGCTAATTATTAGCTTTGAGTTTGTTTTTCCTTGATTTGATCCACATCTTATTTCTGGCTTTCCCTTCACTAGAATACCAATAAAATTGACCTTTCTTTCTTTACGTTGCTGTTGTTAATTTCCATCCAGTTAGTTCCAACTCAGCAAACCTGTATAAGGTTTCCAAGGAGCAATTGGTGGGTTTGAACCACCGACCTTGTGGTTAGCAGTCCAGTGTTTACCCTGTTGTTGTTGTTAAGTGCTGTTGAGTCAGTTCTGTATAGGGTTTCTGAGAAGCAGTTGGTGGGTTTGAACTGCTGACCTTGTGGTTAGCACTCAAGTGTTTATCCTATAGTAAAAGAGGTGACACAACAGAAGGCGGAAATCATCGGACAATCTCGTTGATATCTCAAGCGAGTAAAGTTTT